TGCCCTCCCACCTCAGGGCCTTTGCACAGGCTGTTCCGGGCATGCTCTCCACTCCTCACGCATGTGATTCCTAGTCCTCCTGCTGCTGCCCCTCTCCCTTACATGAGGCTGTGGTCCATCCCCCGTGACCTGTGCCCAGTGAGGGTCCCACCTCAGATGCCCTCTTTTCACTACAATGAGCACAGGTCATAATCCTCTGAGCCAGACATTTTCAAAGGGGGCAAAAATTGGCTCTTGGGGGACTGAAAAAAACAGACGTTTCAATTATTTGTGGCCCCACGTGAGAAAGTTTCATTCCTTAGTATTGTATCTCTCATTAGAGAGAAATTAATTTACTGAATTAAATTGAGTTACTTAATTGTGATCAAGTTTAATTAATTAAAATGATTTAATTAACTTGATTTAATTCAATGTTTCTCCTTAGGGAATGATAATGGGGAAAAAGTGGGAAATGCTGCTTTAAGCATTTATGAGTTTGCTTATGCTCTGCCTGGTGCCCTCTGAGCCCACAGAGGGCAGGCCAGGTGGGTCTAGGTCCTGCTATAGCTCTAGTTCTAGAATGCTGCCTGGCACACAGTAGGTGCTCAGGTAACAGCTTCCATGTGCCACGCCCTGCAGGGAATAATCCAGACAAGGCTCTGCTGGCAGTTGGGAACCATGGAGGGTTTAGGAGCCAGGAAAGGAAGACCTTCTTGGGCTGGTGCATCCTCGACCAGAGATGGCAGCTGCAGCTGCCTCCCAAGCCTGTCCCCACCCAAGTCCCACTGCCAGGCCAGCCCAGGACAGAAATAGAGCAGCCCACGGCTTCTGCAAGGCTGGAGGGGGTGGATGCAGCTAAACCCAGCCTGGCAGGTGGCCTGCTCGGGCTGGGGGCTGGGACAGGCCTCCTGCGTTACTGGGCTCACCCAGCTCTGTCTCACTGCCTGGGGGCCTCAGGCAAGGCTGGACCCTCACTGAGCCTCTGTGACCTCCAGGAGAACCTGACTGCCCTGGGCCTGAGGATAAACAAGCCAGGATAAACATAGCACAGCGGATGTATATATAGACCCTCCCACCTGGTTTCCAAAAGGATTCAAACGGCTCTCACAAGAGGCAAAGAAATGCACATTTAGAGCATGCTGGAGTTTACACAGGGCTCACACGTCACAAGCCTCGGGGAGTAGAACCAGGACGAGGAAAATCTCGGATCCCTCCAAGAAGCACGTCTGGCTGAGCATGAGCTCCCCGTCAGGTGAGGTGTGCCAGGAGAGGCCGCAGCCCTGGCGGGGGTCTGGCCAGGGAGGGATTTTGCATTGGCTAGGGCCTCCACCAGATGCTGTGTAGTCCCTGCTGGGAGAGGAGAAGACAGCTGCCTTGCCCAGCGTCAAGGACACAGCCGGGGGTAGAGCTGGTGTGGCGGCCCTTCCCGTGGCCAGAGTTACCCTGATAGGCTTAGAAGCTGGAGTGGGTGGGGGGTAAACGTCAGTCCTGCTCCCAGGACTGTGCTGACGTCCACAGTGATGCAGGTCCTCAGGGGCAGCCTGGGTGGGGCAGACCCGACGCGGTCCCAGCCTTGGTGCTCCTGGGGCTCATCACTTCCCCGAGGCAGAGTCCCCAGTCGGTACAACCAGGAGGTTGCCTTGGTCCTAGAGCCCAGGACCGGTGCCCCCAAATAAATAGAAGAGCAGTCCCCACCCCCACCCCCACCCCCAGCCTAAACCTTGGTGCAGGGCCTGGCTCTCTGGGCCCCATTGCCTTGGTTCTGGGCTCAGTCTTGGGGCCTGAAGGCACCTGCCCTGCTCCTGCCCTGTTTCCCCCATCATTACCTGACCCTCCTCCATGACAGGGTCTGAGCAAGACAGACCATCCCGGCCCTAGAAGAGCTCCCAGTATAGTAGGGGAGGTGGTCAGTGGACTACAGTGTAAACACAAATATGAAGAAAATACAAAGGAGCAAGGGGAGAGAGCAACAGGGTGGTCAGGGAGAACTGATGGCCTCTCGGGGGTAGGGGGGGCGGTGAGCAAAGGCACCCTGATCCAGCCAGGAGGATGTCTTGGGGGAGAACGTTCTGGGCAGAGAGGACAGCTAGTGCAAAGGACCAGAAGCAGGTCTGAGCATCGTGTGGCTGAAGCACAGGGAGCAAGGGTGGGGGGGAGGCGTGGGGAGGCGTGGATTGGGAGGGTGGGAGCCACCGCAGGGTTCTGAGGAGAGAAGAGGCTGGGCTGACACTTAACAGGGGAAGCTGCCTCCCCGGGTCTCCAGGAGGGAATTCGCCAAATCCTCCCTCAGAGGCCACCTCCTGCTCCCACCAGGCCTGAACGCTACATTTTTAATGCTGGAGGATGAGGAGGCTCCCAGGGCTACAATGGAAACAGGAAGTCCGAGCACCTCCGCCATTTGTCCGTCAGTCCAGAGACACTTTCGATCCCAGGTCTGGGATAGGGCCCCGCTCAACCCTGCTGCTGGGAGGGAAATGGAGACATCTGGCCCCATGCCAGTGACTGCCACCTCACAGCCCAGGGACAGGGAAGAGGGGGCCCTGCCACTCAGGGCAATGAGCATGGTAGGGGGCCCTCACTGAGGTCATGGGCTATATAAACTCAAGGGACCGAGGACTGGCGTGTGCTTTGTAAACGGCAAAGTGATGCGCACACGCGCTTCTCCCACTTGGACGCCTGGACCCCCTTTGTAAAAGCTGAAGGGTCTCCTAAACAGTAACCAAACCTGCAGACAACTGTGCGCACGGCTGCGCAGAGGAATCCACGGGCTAGAAAGTTCCAAGTAGGCCAGTGCCTGGCAAACCATAAACCGCCTTCCGAGCTGTAAAGCGCTTGGAACCCCGTGGAGGGCCTTGCAACCGGCAAATTACCTTGTGAATTGTGTTTT